CATTTTGTGTCGTCATTCCTCACTGGCTCCTGAAGCTGGCTGTGATGACAGAGGATCACATCCTCGCTGCTGGAAGCGACACCGACAAATCACACCGTATCTAACGCTGTCAGCACATTGGACTTGCACGCACATGCATGAGCACACCTACATGTTTGTGTTACTGTCGGTACACCCATTGACTGATTACAGCTGATCTTATCGTTTAAGAAGGAATTCGTTTCAAGGTAACTTGGCCGAATTTATATCTGATTTAGACAAATCTGAGTAATTTTAGGATCTCTCTTCTATGCGTTTAATGGCCACTCCTGAAGATATGTTTTTTGCGCATCTGTTTGTTTTTCTGTATTATTAGCAAAATACAAGATGGCTTAATGTCATTTACTAGGCTTGACTAAAATGGTTAGAACTCCGTCTCGACACTCGCACTTGCCAGTGCACCCACACCTGAGCGTGCGACCTCATTTTCTGGGACTGTGGAGACAGGTGCCTGCTCGTGTGCCGAGAGGTCAGAGTTCACATCTGCGTGCCAGAAGAAAAGTGTGGAGCTGCTCTTCTCTCACCCTGCGTTGACATGTTAATTAATGGCAAAGTCGGCGTGGGCGGACCTCATTTACTGGAGAGCGTCTCTTGATATTTGGCGCGAATCCTCCTCGCTGCCCTTCCTATCATTTTCAAATGAACCCTAAGTGGCCCTCACGCCGTCCATTCAGCGGGACCCAGACAGCAGTCGCATTCAGACACATACAGAGTTGATTGTTGAAGATCCTCACCAGCCACTCGAGGGAAATGATGAGAGGCACTTCAGTCCTCGCCCAAATATTGCCCTCAGACACCCCATAATATCTCCACAGTGCGGCGGCACTGGAATGCGGAGCGGGGGGTCAGCCCGGCTCTGTTTGCTCCCGCGGGGTGTGAGTGTGTCCTTTTTAACTGTGATCACGCTGCATCAACATGATAGCTACACGCACACAAACATGCAGGAGTCTTGCTACTTTCCATGTTTTTGTAACTGATCCCAGGCAAACCACCAAAAAAAACAATGTGGAAAGATTGCAACACCGATTGAGAAGGTGGGAAACAGTGCAGTTTTTTTTATTTTTTATTTTTTTACCATTTCAGTTAGACACAAAACAAATAACTCATCTACATTAGCAACAAAAATAAACAGGACATGTCTCAAAGCTAACACTGATACAGTTTAGCGGAAGCTTAAAAGCAGTTGGAATTAATTTTGTTAGTTCACATTAGTCATTTATTTACTGTTGTTTAAACAGGCAAATCCCAGTGAGATCACAGATCTCTTTTGCAAGGGCGGCCTGGGCCAGAAGGCAACCTATTGTACATTTTTTTGGTCTGTGGGAGAAACCCGAATTCCCAGAGAAAACCCACGCAAGCATGAGGAGAACATGCAAACTCTGCACAGAAAGACCCCAGGTCCAAACCGGGGGTTGAACCCAGGACCTTCTTGCTGTGAGGCATCTGTGCTAACCACTGATCCATCTTGCTGCCAAATCATGTTTGTTAAAAGTTGCTTTTCAGGAAGGCAAAATCAAGTACATTAATCTACCCAGTTTACACACACACATGTTTATATTTCTATTCTTATTAAGACCATTCATTGACTTCCAATTATTTCCAGTCATTTCTATAGCCTAACCCTGAACCCTTACCTTTAATCTAACACCTGAGTTCCACCATATACAGTGGTTTGCAAAAGTATTCATACCCCTTGAACTTTTCCATATTTTGTCACATTACAACCACAAACATAAATATATTTCACTGGAATTTAATGTGAAAGACCAACACAAAGTGGTATACAATTGTGAAGTGGAAGCAAAATTTTACATGAATCAAAACATTTTTTACAAATAAAAAACTGAAAAGTGCGACGTGCAAAAGTATTCAGCCCCCTTTTCCCTGAGTGCAACCAATTGCATTCAGAAGTTGCCTGATGACTGCTAATGACTCAAAAGGGTCCACCTGTGTGTAATCTAATCTCAGTACAAATACAGCTGCTCCGTGACGGCCTCAGATGTTGGTTAAGAGAATATTGGGGAGCAAACAGCATCATGAAGTCCAAAGAACACACCAGACAGGTTAGGAATATGGTTTTGGAGAAGTTTAAAGCAGGCTTAGGTTATAAAAAGATTTCCCAAGCTTTGAACATCTCACGGAGCACTGTTCAATCCATCATCCGGAAATGGAAAGAGTATGGCACCACAGTAAACCTGCCAAGACAAGGCCATCCACCTAAACTTACAGGCCGAACAAGGAGATCACTGATCAGAGAGGCAGCCAAGAGGCCCATGGTGACTCTGGATGAAATGCAGAGAGCCACAGCTCAGGTGGGGGAAACTGTCCACAGGACAACAATTAGTCGTGCACTACACAAATGTGGTCTTTATGGAAGAGTGGCAAGGAGAAAGCCATTGTTAAAAGAAAACCATAAGAAGTCCCGTTTGCAGTTTGCCAGAAGCCATGTTGAGGACACAGCAAACATGTGGAAGAAGGTGCTTTGGTCAGACGAGACCAAAATTGAACTTTTTGGCCACAATGCAAAACGCTATGTGTGGCGGAGAAAGAACACTGCACATCACTCTGAAAACACCATCCCCACTGTCAAATATGGTGGTGGCAGCATCATGCTCTGGGGGTGCTTCTCTTCAGCAGGGACCGGGAAGTTGGTCAAAGTTGATGGGAAGATGGATGGAGCCAAATACAGGGCAATCTTGGAAGAAAACCTGTTGGAGTCAGCAAAAGATTTGAGACTGGGGCGGAGGTTCACCTTCCAGCAGGACAACGACCCTAAACATAAAGCCAAAGCTACAATGGAGTGGTTTAAAAAAAAGAATATTCATGTGTTAGAATGGCCCAGTCAAAGTCCAGACCTAAACCCAATTGAGAATTTGTGGCAAGATCTCAAAACTGCTGTTCACAAACGCTCTCCATCCAATCTGACTGAGCTTGAGCTGTTTTGCAAGGAGGAATGGGCAAGAATTGCAGTCACTAGATGTGCAAAGCTGGTGGAGACATACCCTAAAAGACTTGCAGCTGTAATTGCAGCAAAAGGTGGCTCCACAAAGTATTGACTCAGGGGGGCTGAATAATTTTGCACATCGCACTTTTCCGTTTTTTATTTGTAAAAAATGTTTTGATTCATGTAAAATTTTGCTTCCACTTCACAATTGTATACCACTTTGTGTTGGTCTTTCACATTAAATTCCAGTGAAATATATTTATGTTTGTGGTTGTAATGTGACAAAATATGGAAAAGTTCAAGGGGTATGAATACTTTTGCAAACCACTGTAAGAACCGATCTTTGGTCCTCATAAGGACCGCTGGTCCTGACAACGTAGGGTAGGTGTATCAGAAACAATCCTAAAAAGGTAACAAATCCACGTACACAGAGACACACACAAACCTCATTATCTCAGCTCCCATTAGTGTTTCCTCTTATTAAAATAAAAAGGTTCTGGTTAGGAATTAGATCAAGAAATTAGGATCAAACAAAATAAGATCCAACAAAAAAAAGTCTTGATGAACCTTTGGCACATTTATGATCACACAGATTAATGAGATAAAGAAAATATATCCTCTTTCAATGGTTTTACATCTCCAGACATAATAAAAATAAGTCTGGGCTTCGTCAGATTTCAAAATTAATTAAATTCAATCTCAAGTGTAGAAAAAGCACACCCCATTCCACTGCGTCATTATTTATTAAACAAAAAGCCTAAATGGAGAAGGGTAAGTCTACCTCATGATGCAACAGCTTGTAGAACCACTTTTAGCAGCAAGAACATGAAATAGTCCTTCAGTCTCTCACATTATAGAGTAATTTGGACCCACTCTGCTTTACAATGTTGCTTTAGTTCTATAAGGTTTGCAAACCTTTGTTTCTGCACAGCTCTCTTAAAGCCCCACTGCAGCATTTCAGTCAGGCTCAGGTCCGGACTGTGATTGGATGAATGTCCTGATGTATCATGACCCAGTTTGGGTCGAGCCTTAGCTGTAGGGCAGATGACCTCAGATTTCACTCTACAGTAGTTTGGTCTCCAGTGGAGTTCATGGTTGACTCATCGACTGCAATGTACCCAGCTCCTGCAGCTGCAAAACAAGTCCACATCACGGTCCCTCTACCGCCGAGCTGACAGTTGGTGTGAGGTGTTTGTGCAGTTATTCTTATATGCTAATAAATGTGTTCTTTTGCACTTAAAATTAAATTTTAAAAAGTTTAGAACCTAATAAAAAACAGATCATTTTATTATATCCTGATACCTAAAACTCTTAAATGAAAAGAGGGCTGAAATCCGCTTTTTTCTGACTTTAACAGCTTAAAAGGAATATTTCCATGTCCTGTGATCTCATGGCTGTTTTTTTACCATAGTTTAGTATTTTGACTATTTCATAATCATAAAAGTTTGACCTTAACTTGTTATTACGACGCCTTTTAGATATTCTTAACTTTTTGAACAGTTCAAAACCTTGACACACACCATATGTATTAAAATGCTGCTGGCTGACTCCACTACAGTTTCATTTTGCTGATAAGCCTTTTTTTTTTGTCCATACTCTTCAAAAATAATAAAAATTTTGCATGTGTCTTTTATGCACAGAATAATCCTCTGCATTAAGTTTCAGTAGCTGACATCATATAATGCTGTTTTGATACAGTAACTGTTCGCCTGAAGCGACCCTGCATGTTACGGCTGGCTCGGGCTTCAGCATCTTTTTAGTTCTTTCAGGCCTGAACTTGTGAAAACTCATGTTCCATTTTATGTCCCATTCAATTATTCTCTAAAATAGAGCAAATGAAATGAAGCGTTTCCCTCAAAGAGTGGGCTTGTGCCAGGTAACTGTCAGGAGTTTAATTTGAGGGTAATGACATTCTTTACCCGATGCTCCTGTTATTAATGAGCAGCGCAGCAGACCTCAGCAGGGTCTTCAGTGACTGCAGGTTATTTTAGAGTGTTTTTCAACAGCTACTCCGGCACATGAACTCAATTCTCATTTTAATTGGGCTCATTAAATATTGCAGCAATTCAGCCTAACATTCACTTTTAAACTGGAGACGCTGTAAAATTGAACGCTTCAATTTAAAATGTTAGCAAAAATGCTGCCTTAAAACTCCACATTAAGTGAAATAAACATTTTTTCCCCACTAATATTACTTCATGTCTGTGGTTCTGAAACCTTTCACCCAAAATAACTGTGGCAACAAAATGTGACCCCAACCATTAGTGGGCTGGTTCTTGTTATTGACAGCATATAAAGCCTGAATTGAGATTTTTGTTTTAATAATTGAGACAAAACTTAACTTTTAACAAATTTTTTGACATTTTTAATTGATTCCTAAAGGTAATCTTAAGATCCGCCTCACTTTCCGACTAGCGTTTTCACACAGACCTGCTTTGATTTACTGATTTGATCAGTAAATATCTGAGTATAGTTGTTTTAATTTGTGTGCTTTTCTCATCTATTTAAAATTGTACATTGAACATCTTTTGTTTTTGTGAATGGGATGATTAAGTATTTTTTTAAGTGGGGATCTGTTAAAAGGTCATTAAAAATTAACATTGTATCTTTTCTGGTTGGCAGCTTTTTTAAAAGTCCTCAGTTTGGAGAAATAGAGTTTAATTTTGACAAGATAATAGCAAATATGAATGGAGACCAAAAGGAATGGCTGTTGTCGTAGATTACAATTTCAAGTTTCTACCTCATCACTTGTATATGCATTTATTTTTAGTAGACCAGACTATAGTGCAATGCTCACAGGTCTCCCTAAAAATCTGTTAGACAGCTGCAGTTAATTCCTCACACAGACCAAGAAAAGAGATCATATAACTCCAGTTCTTAGATCTGTACTCTCACTCGCTGTTTGTCAAATAATTGAATTCAGAGTACTACAGATGGTCTATAAAAGCTTTCAATGGTTTAGGGCCAAAGTACATTTCTGATCTCCTAGTCTGCTATGAAACACCCAGAGTCCTCAGGTCATGAGGGACTGGCCTGCTTTCAGATACCCGCAAGATCAGAACTAAACCCAGAGAGGCAGCTTTCAGTTTTTGACAAACTCCCTGAAAACTGCAGGTCTGATGAAATTTACAACTCTCTTAAATCACAGCAAAAGACTTTTCTAATCACTTCTGCCTTTCTTTAGAACAGACTACTGCTAATTGGATCTGATTCCTTCATTTGTGATTTTATTGGTTACTTTTATTGGCTGTTTTTTTAAAGTGACTTTTTATGGTTGATTCCTGATCTGTGTATCTTTATTTATTTTCTCGTTGTACTTTTATCTGTTTATTTGTTTTTCTTATATGTTGTTTTGAAAGTGCCTGTGACATGCCAATCCTTTTAAATACAAAAAGTCAAAGTAAGCATCTTTAGAAACTTGACATATTACATAATGATTTTATCGATTTTATCATGTAACTGGAATATTTTCTTTTGAACTTGACTCAGCCAAAGTGAAACAGGAAGTGACATCAAAGGGGAACTCTGTAAGAAAAAGAACTCTGGTCTTTGTTTATTGAAACAATATTATTTGAACTCTGACTTTGCTTCATCTCTCTCTGATAGTGACTCAAAACATTCTAAAGAAACAGATTATTCTCTACAATTTGTTGTCACCTATTGTATCCACACTCTGTTCACATGCAGACATTCCTCTTTGACATCACTTCCTGTTACTTTGAATGCAAATATCTCAACAACCGTTCATCTCAGCAGTGTGAATTGTTTTTTTGCAATATGTTCTCAATGTTGTTTATCTAAAAAAGCATTAATATTTATTAGAAAAATTTTATGTCAGAGGCACTTTAATGTTTTTATGCAAATCACTTTGAGTTGTCTTGCACATAAAATGCTAATAAAATATATAATAATATTAATAAATCATTGTCAGTTTCACATTACACATTTATTTGAAAGGGCTATTAGTGTTTCTATTAGACTAATCATGTAATAAAAAATTTACAGCAGTGTAAAAGTTTACGAAGTAGCATTCACATGACCCACGTTGACATTTTATTACACTTAAAAAGATTTTCACCTCAGTCTTTGCCCCAATAACTTGACCCCCAGCCAAGCCCAGTTTTGTCCAGGCCGGCCTTGTCTTACTGCACATCTTCGATGAAGCACAGCCTCTTGACTTATGCTAATTCCCCCACTGTTCCTCTGTCAATCATCGGATCGCTGGCTGAGAATTTCAAACCTCCGTAGCAGCAGGCACCTGACTGAATAAACCGACAAGCTGTCAAGCTTGAGGGTGGGATCGTGTGAGGAGATAAAAGTTGTATCCCACCCCCGGTACGTTTATCCCGCTGAGGTCCCAGAGCAGAGGGCCTGTGTGCCTCCCTCCACTGCTGTGTCATTAATAAGAGGTGTCCCTGTGGAGCGTGCAGCGGTGGCACTGGGTTTAATCACTGCCAGGAGGCGAGAGAACAAGCCTCAGCAGCCCCTAATCTCTTCTGTGGTTAGACACATTTGGTCAGAGGAGCTTTGAACTTTACATCTGCTCATATCTGATCCCTCCGGGCTTTATTTAATACCATATGCAAATGCAATAAGGATTGATGAATTAGTTCATAACAACCATTTCCTAAGATATATTATTTGTCTTTGTTTAGCAGCCACAGTCAAATTTCTCTCCCTTGCAATTCGGTGTGATTAAAATCTCCATTAAATCAAAATTACATGCTGTCTTTTGTCTGCACGTTATCCACATTGTGTTTTTATTAACTGATTCCTTATTGTGCCGTTTTGTCCCCAGGCTCGTGTGTCGCACTGGGAGGTCTGTACATGACAGGATGGAGTTTGTCCAAGTGGACGTGGATCAGAGTGGAACAGGGACATCAAAGGAGAAGTTTTCATATTTAGTGAGTAATCTCCAGCCTTTTTGACCCTCCTGCTGATTTTTCGCTTTCTGTTCTGCCTGTCTCTTCCTCTGCATGCTTCTTCTCTGCTCTTCTCTCTCTCTCTCTCTCTCTCTCTCTCTCTCTCTCTCTCTCTCTCTCTCTCTCTCTCTCTCTCTCT